CGGCCGGCCTTGAGACATGCTGGCTGGGACACCGTGCACCCCCCCCCCCACCCCAACCCAATCCTCTTCCCTTCCCCTCCGCTTTCCTCCCCTACTCCACACTAGAGCCAGGCACCCCCCTCCCTCGCTCTAACCTAATTATCGGGTCCCAGAGCCACCACTACAGCCGCATGTCTCCCTCCAGGCACTGGGGCATGTGCACTGAGAGGCCAGTGCACTGAGCGGCTGGCACGCCACATGCACTGCTCCAACCCAATCCTCCTCCCCTCCCCTTCCCCAGAGCCAGACACCTCCCCTCCCCACTATAACCCAGCTCCCCTCCCCCAATAACCTTATGCCCAGGTCCTGGAGCTGCCACTGGCACTGCCGCCGCCACACCCAGAGCCCTTGCCACTGCTTGTGCTCAGCAGCCGGCTGCTAGCACATGGAGGTTGGGACGCTGTGTGTGATTGGGCCTGCATGTGCAGTGTGCTGGACGCTGTGAGCAGAATGGTGCGGGCCGTGAGCATACATGTGGCTCACAGAGGCCTGGCCGTGACAGCGGTTGACCTAAGCGGTTCCGGGTTCTCTCCCAGTTCCATCAGGAGCCGCGGGTTGGCCACGCCTGGACTAGAAGATCCCTTAGGGAGGTATATAGATATAGGTGTATTCTTGTTTAGAGCATCTAAGGAAAACATCATAGTTTAGACCCTGCTTCAGCAAAGCACCTAAGTATGTGTTTAAATCCGTAGCAAAGCATTTATGCGCATACTGAATAGCCAATGTGCTTACACGCTTTTATGAATTGCAGCCTTAAACAATTAATGGCTTTTCACACTAAGCATGCCTCAAAGCTAATTTTATAAATTCAAAAGTCTACTTTACAGCCATTTAAAAACAAAACTGTAATAAAAACAAAAGCAACCTAGCAAAGCAAATGTACACTGAGTAATCTGCACATGGAAAACGAAGTTCAAGGCTTTAGCTAGTTTCATGCTCTTGCTCTCTCTCTCTCTCTCCTGCATGAAAAAAGTATTTCTGCACTTTGTGTGTGACCCTTTCGACAAATTAATAGCAGTAGTTTCTAGAAACATTCATATTGAGGCACAAGCCAACAATAGGAAATTTCTGCCTCAAAGATTAAAAAAAAAGCTAAGAATTATGAGCATCTAAAAATTGGGATTTGAATGTAAACAGTTTTACAATTTTAATTACTACATAATGGTCAACATCTGTGCCCACTGTAAAGAACCCAATCCCAGTCTTTTATTGAAGTTTAATTTCTCAGTTTATTCAATTAACTTTTGTCTACTATAAATAATAATCCTAACAGAAGTATTTTCCCGTTATCCAGGATGGGATATAGGAATTTCCATACTGTATCTGTCACAAGATCCTGGAAAATACATTCTGAAGCTCCATGTTTATTGTCTCAATGATTCCAGCTCAAATATGCTCATAAGCAAAGAGTATTTATTCCTAACTACCAGCATTGCAAACACTTATGAACATGCTTAATTTTATGCACTTGAGAGTATGTCTACACTAGGAGAAAAAACCCACACATCCTGAGACAGTAAGGCTGTGTCTAGACTACTCCTCTCTATTGACAGAGAGATGTAGATTAGGCACGTCGAAATTGCTAATGAAGCAGGGATTTAAATATCCAACACTTCACTAGCATAAACATGGCCACCGCTTTTTCCTGAAATGGAGCTTTTTTGGGGGGAAAAAAAACCAAAAAAAACCCCAAAACGGCAGTCTAGACGCAGATCTGTTGAAAATAAACCCTTTTTTGAAAATTCCTATATTCCTCAAAAAATTTGGTTTTCAGGATCTGTTGACAAAGGGTTTATTTTCAACGGATCCACGTCTAGACCTGGGGGTTACAGTGGATGAGAAGCTGGATATGAGTCAACCGTGTGCTGTTGTAGCCAAGAAGGCTAATGGCATATTAGGTTGCATTAAGAGGAGCATTGCCAGCAGATCCAGAGATGTCATTATTCCCCTTTATTCGGCTTTGGTGAGGCCACATCTGGAGTATTGTGTCCAGTTCTGGGCCCCCCACTACAAAAAGGATGTGGACGCATTGGAGAGGGTCCAGCGGAGGGCAACCAAAATGATTTGGGGGCTGGAGCGTATGACTTATGAGGAGAGGCTGAGGGACTTGGGTCTGTTTAGTCTGCAGAAGCGAAGAGTGAGGGGGGATTTGATAGCAGCCTTCAACTTCCTGAAGGGAGGTTCCAAAGAGGATGGAGAGAGACTGTTCTCAGTAGTGACAGATGGCAGAACAAGGAGCAATGGTCTCAAGTTGTGGTGGGAGAGGTCCAGGTTGGATATTAGGAAAACTATTTCACTAGGAGGGTGGTGAAGCACTGGAATGGGTTACCTAGGGAAGTAGTGGAGTCTCCATCCCTAGAGATGTTTAAGTCTCGGCTTGACAAAGCCCTGCCCAGGTTGATTTAGTTGGGATTGGTCCTGCCTAGAGCAGGGGGCTGGACTTGATGACCTTCTGAGGTCTCTTCCAGTTCTATGGTTCTATGATTCTAGACTGCCGTTTTTTTCCGAAAAAGCTCCCTTTCGAAAAAAGCGGCAGCCATGTTTATGCTAATGAAGTGCGGGATATTTAAATCCCTGCTTCATTAGCAATTTCGACATGCCTAATCTACATCTCTCTGTCGACAGAGAGGGGTAGTCTAGATGTACCCTAAGTCTCAGATTCCAGGTCAACTGACTTGAGCTTGGGTTATGGGACTAACTATTTTTAGTCACAGTGTTACTCAAAGGCATAAAATCAGTCATGCCTGTAAGTATTTGTAGGATAAGGGCCTCAGTCTCAGCCTTGAGAATCAATATGGGTTCCTTGCACGTCAACTGTAATAGGGATTCTACAAGCTAAAGTCTGTGCTCAGAGACACACAGGTGAACACTACCTTCAGTAAGTTTGCCAAAGTGTAACTAATTGGCCCTGTAACAGGAACCTAAAACAATTCTGTTGATGATGCTCAAGAAGGATCCTGATCCCCTTCTGTGAGCTGAGCTAGTTTTGCAGGGCTAACATAGTGACCACCTACTAAATCTGGGATCTTCAGCATGAGGCACAATTGCTTGAGCTAAAGGAGATACTCCTTTAGCTGGCAGACATATTAGAGCCTTACTCCCTCTTCGGAAGACCAGCCCTAGGGCAGAGGTATAGAAGAATCACAATCTGGACTGCCAGATGCTTGTG